TAGAGAAGAATGCAGAAATCGATACATAAATAGCTGTAGACATCCATACAGGAGCTGGTGTTTATACAGGTATGTATGTATGTATGTATGTATGTATGTATGTATGTATGTATGTATGTATGTATGTATGTAATTATGTTTGTTTATTGGGAAAGTTTCAGGCCGAAGTGCTAACCACCCTTAGCCAAATTACCTCCCTCGACGAACTCCCCCAAAGTGTATGTATACATATGTATATATGTATATATCGGTTTACATATCATATTATGTATGCACATATGGAGTGAGAGAATGTGTGTGTGTGTGCATATGTATGTCTGTGAACCTGACGTGTGCTTCAAACGTTTGGGATTAGGAACTTAACTAACTTGATTCACGGTGTTCTCAGGAATTTCAGGTACTGTTTTCAGGAGGTCCTTGTTTTAGGCAAGACTACCTTTTGTTCTGATACCCACATCTCGAGAGGATGAGACTATAGGATCTCAGATCATGGGCGACCGCCATTGGGTTTCCTCTCATATTCACCCCCACATCGGTAGTTCGCGCTTTAGAAATTGCGGTTCAGAAGACTGGTATCAGGTTTAAGGAGTGCAGGTACGATGGGCTTCAAGAGCTTGCTGCACATGCAGTACTGACTAGACTACACAGGCACAAGCAAACCGAAGCCCTAAACTGTCACCTTCTGACACCTCACCTGCCCAAGCATCAACTCCAAGAGCCAAATTCCGACCCAAATGCGAAGCCTTGTGGCGCGCATGGGGACGATGATAATGATGCTGGTGATGAGGATCCCAAGAACATAAAACGGAGAACTATCTTGAATAAGAGCAACCCAAACTGACCGCTTAATCATGAGCTCCATGTAAACAAGCAGAGCGGATACAACAATCTGCTGACTTGACACGGCAAGTTTGGGAGTTTGGCAATAAAACGGACCTTGGACAACAAAACCCCTGCACGACACCAGGCGTTCAACAAGCAACACGCCTCCTGAAACACGCCTACACAAGAATACTCATGAAATACGAAGTGGTAGGGTGTACTCAGAAGAACTCTCCACGGATAGAATCGGAAGTGCATCACAGGAATTGGGACACGGGGCGGGCCTGAGTGCAGAACAAGACCAAAGGGTGGGAGAAAGCTTCGGTTTTCTTGCATGGCATTCTTCGCTTTGCGGTTCGGGGTCCGGCGTTCAGTTCGCGGCCCTTGCAGGCAATGCAGTGTTTAGGACGATAGATTTGGCGCAAGCAGCTGGCAGCAAAGATACCCTCCAATTTAAAACGAAGCCCTCAACACTTTCAATTTCGGCCGGTCGAAACTTCAAGCTCTGAAAAAAGTGTGCTTCAGTGCATTGGCAAGGCACGAGATCATGGTCACAAAGATCATGTGGTTGAGCCAGATGTCTTCATACAGGAACCACTCCGATGAATAGAGGTCGTCGATCAGGCAGTATGTGTACCAGGCGGCTAAAAACCTCAGCAACACTGATTAAAACGCAGCTTTAACTCATGTCCGGCCGCGCGAATATGTTGACGAAACACATGCACCGCACAACTGAAGGCTGAAACCTTCAGCCCGTCGCGTGGCTGACCGCTTTCGATTGAATTTCCCATTGTCGTGGCGAACCATCCATCCGTGGCACACGAATCGGTCTTTCATGTCTTAGGTCCGACAACTATACGACCACTGCACCACCACCACCACCACCAGCAGCAACAACAACAACACCAACAACACCACCACCACTACCACCACCACCACCACCACCACCATCAACAACAACAACAACAACAACAACTGGGATCCGCCGCGTGGAGCATCTTGCGGCTTGCCAAGCACATGTGGTCAAGCGCGTGCGCGCATGCATAGTCGTGGCAATTGAAGACCATGTGCCAGCGACTTCGCGTGTAAAGTCAGGCTGTGGCGTAACCGTCCCTGCACTGGATGCATCGCCAGAGAGGCCAGGTTAGTCCATGCTCGTGCTTGGTTGGAAACCACTTCTGCCGTCAAGGAAGGGGACATGTAGATGTTAGGGGGGCGCCGGCTCTATTTATAGAGTACGTTGCATACAAGCTTGCGTCGTTCAGCAGGTTGATGGCATTTATAGGTCCACTTATCATGGACTATAATAATGGTGGCACCGCACATCCTCGTGTCCGCGGCAGAGTTCGTCCACGAAGCTGTGGCCTTCATTCTTCACCCCTGTCTCTCGTGTCAGGAGGCTGCTGCCGGTCATGCCTGGTCCAGCCAATGGATCACCACCCAGTGAGCTATGCACTGCAGCTCACGCACCAATACACTACAGCCGAGTCGCATCACACCCAGCCGTCAACATACTCACGGATGGGATGCAGCATGCACTCCCCAGACCCAATTTCGAGCGACTCGGTAGCACCATCTTGGATGTCGGGGTGTTTCTTTCCCTCTCGGATGGCCATATAGGGCTGTATGCACACAAGCGAGGTTTGCTTTGGGAGTTCTGGTCTGGCGCGCAATAAGATCTCAGATCACATGACCAAAATACGCGAGTTTGTTTGCCAGAGAGAACAAGGACTCTCAACACATGAAACAACACTCCCTTCAAGAAAGCTAGGGGCACTCATACGGCTCCAAAAATCAAATAGTCTTTTTGTTAAAATTAAAAACTTGATACACTTCTCGATTTGGTTCATCCTTGCGAAGGGGCCATGCTAATCTTCTCTGCGTAAAGACTAGCATGGCCTCGACACAATACGGCACGAGTTGCACTGGGGCTGGACCAAAAAAATCCCTACGGTTATGGAGCGGTATGGAGGAGCTGCGAACTTGCAACATCAGGAACATAAGGCGGCTATACAGGAGTCAGCCTGAAAAGTCTGCGATTCAGAATGCCTAACCCTAAACCCTGATGTTTCCACAGGGCTACACCGTGGGCTGGGTTTAGGGTTTGGGGTACTACCTGCAATCCTACATGGCTAGAGTTGTTCATGCAGTCTGAGTCTTGTGGTGTTCTCAAGGCCTCCGTGGCGGTTGGCACAGGCTCCGCGAGAGTCGTGGTCACCCTGCAAGCCGACAATAATACTCAATACAACTGCATAGAACAACATTGATGTATCATTGGCATTCAAATTAAGATTACAATTGGCATGTGCATTACCATAGGCATAAACATGACACGGCATATAACATAGCAAAACATGAACTAGAACAGCATCGCATGACATGACATAGCAAAGCATCGTACACTGTGAAACATATAGCATAACTGTGCAGCGCACATAAACACGTATGATGATGGAATTCATCTCCAATCGCCACGCCACGCAGCACCCCACCACATTGAATGTTACACATATGCATACCTACATACACACATAACCCATGGGCTTTTTCAAGCGTAGCTGACCGGATGTTCGTGGGCAATTGTGTCAAGCCCCCTTCCAAAATCCCATCACGCAACTCATCCAGTGATTTAACCCCTGAACCTGGGCTCTCCGAACCACAAACGCCAGTGTCATCATGATCATCACCATGAACAACATCATCTGCATGTGTTTGAGTCACGGCTGGGGGCCGGCGCGTTTGAAGACTCATCGTGTTGACGCAAGTAGCTGAAATAAGCTGAACAAAAACATCGTCACCATTACAGTTATCACCATCACCATTATCGCCATCACCATCATCAACATCATCATCATCACCATCACAATCATCTTCATCGTCACTGTCACGTCGTCAACATTAGCATCTAGATCACCGGTAGCATGGCTACTTTTCGCTAGGTTTAATCGATAGAACCGTTGCTTGCGAATACATTCGCTGCTATGGCGTTGCGTTTGGGAGTGCTGGTCTCTGCACACGCAGCATCACCTTGACTATGGCTGTTGCATCTTCTCCTGCTGCGCCGACAACAACTACCCCATACGATATTAGCAATACTTAATTACTCCAATCGCGATTCAGGCGCTGACTTTCCTCCTACTGCGCTATAGTTATCACTGTCTGGAATATCATGGTTACCAGTTCTGTCAGAAGACCTACACTGAAACTCCTACGATGAGATTCACTGTGCCGTGATCAACGTTGTGGCCAATGCTGATGGTTGCGATGACGATGAACAAGATCAGCTAGCTTAAAGTGCTGATCATGCTGCTGCCGAAGACAGCGATGACTGTGTCCTGTGAGAAGTTTAGGCCGCGGCTTTGTTGCTTCAGCCCCGATCTCTCTGAGCGAGAACACATCCTCGATGAAATCATGTGGCCTCGAGGCGTCGGGCTTGGTGAATGCCGCTTAAGGAAGGGCGTATCAGGTAAATCCCAGGGACATCGTGGGGGACATCGTGTTGTTTCACGCAACTTGGGATGTAGACTCCGACCATCTTGCATAGGCAAGGGCCGAACACCCAGGCTGAAGACTCGAATGTGCAAGATGCGGCTTGAGGGTTTGGACATAGGTAGTCAGAAATTGAGAGGCTCATAACACATGAACAATGCGTTTCGACGCAAATAAAAGCTGCTTTAAAGTGGACGCGGAGGGCATCAGCAAACATCACCACGGCGCACACAAAGCTCCGAGTCCATCTCCTCAATACAGCCGATAGCTTGGGCGCTGCACGCTTTTGAGCACATGCTCTCCGCTGTCGTCAGCAGGCTGGCCATCACCTTTCATGTAAGGTATCGAAATGCCATGCAGAAGGTGCAGTCCCAGTTTGCGTTCGGCTTAACTCGCCTCCCCCTTCCGCAACCTGCATGCTGAAACACTGGCATGCCAACTCTTTCTTTGCTTCTGGATCGTGCCCGTCGGTGATCAGCAGGATCTGCCTCCGAAACTTGGGTGGCGGCCGCGCTGATCTCCTGGAGAAGATGTCAAGGCCAAGCCGAGCCCGAAATGCATGTGCGCATGCCTCACCTTCTTCGCTATTTTTCATCATCTCTACTTCACTGTTTGTCAATTCGAGAGCACATTTACTGGCTTGACCGTCCCTGGTTGTCTAGTTGTCTGTCTTGGACTGATGTGTTTCAGAACTCCGAGCCTACGGTACCTACTGACTGTGACTACTGACTTCTGCGACTGATCTCATTAACGAGGGAGAAAACAACGACATGCAACGAGTACTCTACGGCGACCAGCACCGCAACTAGCACCACACAAACCAAACCAACAATCGGTGTCGATGAGAAAGAGTTAGCCTGACAGCAGTGTAAAGTAACCTGTTCTTGGGACAGTTGCTATTTAGGGAACTCCAGTGCTGCAGACCCTCAAGCCAAAGCACCAAGCCGCAACCCGTTCTGGGCTAGGCCTGGCAGAGACTGTAAGTTCTTCAAACCCAGTTCATTGCATATCTATAGAGCCACGGTCTCAAGATACAACCACCTACATGCTATCTGCTAAGCCCCATGGGTCAGTCTGCCTGCAGTGCCAAGATGGACTCCGGCGCACCACCCTGTCGTAAAAGTCTCTTGCTGTAAACAGTTGATGGACCTTGACAGCTCGCTGTAAACGTGTAACTCAAGCCCATAGGACTTCTTTGGTCTCAGACTTGCCTGGCTTAGTGGCGCATTTCAAGCACGTCATCAGCAGCTGCTTCGAACTCCAACCACTTGCAGCAAGACCTAAGGTTCTCAGAACTACAAACAAAAGATCAGTCCTGGCCGTAAGTGCCATCAGAGCTGGGGTGTTATGAAGGAGTCAGTGCCAACCCAAATTGGCCACTTTTGTTTCCGTCTCGGCCGTGCAAACCTGCACAACTTTTTCCGTACGGTCTACCTGTAGTCTCCATTGTAGTTCCTTTTTTTGGTTTAACAAATTATATATTAAGGATTCTATAAGGTAACCCCAACAAGGAACTACACTGGAGCCTATAGGTAGAACTGAGCTCCCTGGGCCTCCTCATATGTCGCCGCTTGCATCATCTGCAGCATGCTATGCCTTCTGCCAGTCGTTGGGCTGCCTGGCTCTGAGGGGTGATGGTCGCATCGTAGGCGCGAAAACACCTACAGTAAGGCTTAAGCGCTTGGGTTGTTTGGCTGGGCTTCCGCGCAGCAGCTTAGATGTGTACCATGTTCCAGAGTCGGACCTAGTGTCCGGATTCAGGATGTGGTTTCGAATTTGGGACTTGAATCTGAACCAAAACCGCTTCGCCCCAGCAGTGTGAAACACTCGAAATACTTCGTTCTGAATAGCTGAGGTCCCAGTTCGCACAACTAAATCAACAGCACCCGTCTCCCCCAGAAGTATCAGTATGACTAGATTGTTCTTCAGGCTGCAACAGCAATAAACGTGCCGATGCCGATCGCTGGCCGAGCATCTTCGGAACTGTTGAGGAAACCGCACGCGACGGTAGACCGCGTGATAGAACACGACATAGGAAACTTGGGATGCTTTCCTGTGTACACCAGCAATGCAAGTTAGTAGCAGTTAGTGAGTATGTGCGTGCGTGTATATTGTGTGCACGCACACTCGCAACCCATATGCTTGACGACGCGGTGAGACCGC